TTGCAATCATGAAAGCATCATTATCACAATAATTTGAATCAGCAGTGATATTAATATCACCAGTTAATTCTGAAACACAGGTTGTCACTCGTTCATTAGTTTGTTTATTGCAAAAGTCATTGTTTGACGAATCATCAACCATAGCTATAAAAAACTTTTTGGTTTGCCTTATTCAGTATACCTAACCGAGCTAACTGATTCCATTCTGACTGATTTTATTCTGATTCTGATTCTGAGCCTACGATCGCTCAGTTTGTTGCAATATGAATCATGATGTGAATGCATCTCTTACACAAACCCTGGAGGTGCAGTAGGTGTTGAGGTCATGTAGTGCTGAGGAGGTGCCACAAAAGTGCCTTGATCGTACATTGGATACCCGCTTGTCGACGGTTGATGTGAGTCAATTCCGAACGGCGTAGCATGTGGATGATAACCTGAATTCAATAAACGCTCAGGACAGTCATGACCCTAACCACCTATCATTCACATCATCCACCTATCATACATGAATTGTCCCCAAAATACCACTTGTTTCTATCTATAGAGAGTTGAGTTAGATCCATTGTAATGTTCAGCTATCATTTTGTCTTATACATTAAACTGAAATCATAGACTAAATGCTGTAATCGCATCTCATCGAACGAATATCAACTCCGTATCGATAAAGATGCTGTTCAACCAGACCTTCAAAATGTTCAGAAAAAATGCATCATCATGACGAATGCTCACTAATTTCGAGCAATCTGTGGAATGTTTCTTGCGTTATTTTCCATGAATTCCTTCATTCCTACAGTATGCCTCATATCGAAAGAGAACTAAGTTCAGCAGAGAACAGCACTATCTCATTGAAGTGAATGCATAACGCTTATGATGTGATAATGAACAAATCAAACAGCACACAGAAGCTAAAAGAAAAATTCACATTTATCCACTGTTGTCATTGTAGTGAAAGACGTGTTTTTAAGGAGCAGATAGTTTCGTTCGTGTTGTGTGTTTATGTTAAAATGCAACCGAACGTAAAATTTCTTAAGCAAACTAATTGTGCTGTCGTTTTGCAGTTACTGTAACGTGTTACCAGTCGAATGTCACTTTTGTTGATATTTTAACACAACAAATTTTACGTACAGTTTTGATGCAAAACTGTGAGTAAAATTTCTTCAAATGAATATATCTAAGTGAGAGCGATAAGGATATATGGAGAGGGTGATGGCGAAAGTGACAAGCTCATGACAATTTGATAGGATGTGTCAGGTGAAGCATTGGGAATTATCCGCTATGGATGACATGTGCCAATCAGTCTGTTGAATGCGATAGACAAGAGACTTAATCAACTGACTGTTCGTTTAGTTAGAATTCAACAAAATACTAACAATAACTGAAATCTGATGGTGATGGGAAGTTAGTTTTACCCAAAATTTGACGAATTATCTCAATGAAGCACAAGAATTTGCATTCGATTATTTCATTGGAGATGGTGTCCCTTTGACAGTATCAGTGCTTACTTGAAAGTGTCTTCAATTTTTTCCACCTAATTATTTGCAATTAAGTATTCTGAGGGATAAAGATTTACAGGCAATCTTTTTTCGGTTATTTGACGTAGTTGTTGCACTTGTTTGTATGGTAAGTTTATTTACTCAAGAAGACTGACGATCGTATTCAGTTACGTTCGCTGTGTCTGTAAACAATACAAACTTCACTCACAGCACTAACATTACACGATCGACTGCCTCAGTTCGATACAAACGGATCAACTCACCACTATTCTTTACTAATCTCACAAATTCGCTTACAAAGTATCGATACAAGACACTGTAACTACTACCTTACGCTAACGACTCCGAAACAGATAATCTATTCCAAATTCATCCCATGCAGCGATATTTTTACTATCATAGCGAACGTCTTCTTAGCTTGTATAGGATTTTTTTGTTTTTCCTTTATTACGCAATGAGTAATGTAGATTAAAAAAACTCATCAAATACTGCAGCAGTGGTCTCTGATTTTCAAAATAGAAACAGAATAAAATTCAAAGTATCACATGCAAAAACTGAGTGTGGAAACCAATGTTTACGTTGGCCGAAAGTACTCTCACAATCAGTCAGAAGAATTTTGCATAGAGATCATAAGTTGATATAGGTCAGTCAGGTTTTAGTGATTTTATCAAAATGGTTTGATCGATAGTATGAACAGCTGGTATGCTCTTGTGACTGAATTACTTGATCTGTATAATGTGTAAAAGTACCACTAATTGTAGGTAGGACTAAGTTTCCATGTGTTTTACAATGTCTAATAACGTCGGAAGGGTTGCTGTAGGCTTACTTATGTCCCATTTGACGTATACCTCACATTATCTAGCTACGAGATTCGAGGTCTAATGAGAACCGAAGTGAAGAGGAAAAATAATATGTTTTTACGAACTTCCAAGTAGAGGCAAATGCTCGGTCCATGAAGATGGTGGTGGATGAGCGTAGAAGTTAGCCGAGTTGATTCCATCTGACAAATCGTTCTTGAAAACGTCACACCTAAAACAAAAACAATATCGGTGATCATTGAATTGAGTTCACTTTGCATGGCTATTATCAAGATGCAAGCTGATAGTTTATAAGAATGCTCCGAATCGATGTATTACAAAGGCATTAAAGTATCACAACATTTGTTATTGGTAAGGTATCGAAATTCAGCAAGCTGAAACGCTGAATTTTATCATAGCCACAGAATCTGTATTGTTGAAAGAGTTAAGAAGGAGTTACGAACTGGAATATGCTGAAACCTTCAGTTTAGTCGGTAGAGCTGATGAGCAATGAGAAATACGGTGATCAGCTCAGGAGTTAACTGGTTAGCTGAAAGGCGGCTGATTGGATTGACTGCTTCAGCATAACGACTTTATCAAAGACGAAATCAATTAGACATCAAATGAGAGGAGGACAAGATGGGATTTTGAGATTAAGAGGATCACTCGATTAAGAGGAGTGCTGCTTGATTGATGATGGATGGTACTTATGTGAAGTGACTGATCTCCTAAATGATTAGCACAAAACTAATCGATCAACTCGAAATCGATTCAACAATCGTCTACAGTTAACATCCATCGAACTCAATTGGATGTTGTTGAGTTATGTAAATGAAGAAACATTGTTTATGTAACGCAACAAAACTGCTATATTCAACAGAAGCATTTTTATCGTTTGAGCATTGCCTTCACCTTATATCGTCTCTGATGAGATCACTTGAGACCATACGTATAGGTGCTACTTGACGGAATTTTTTCATGATAAGTAACAAGAAAACTCTAGATGAAGTAAACGACGAACACATGTGTACAGACTAATTTCGTAGATTGCATTTTGTCACTGATAGTTTCACGGAAATCATGCATGCCTAAAACTCCGTTTACGATGAGCACAGAACCAAAATCTTGCTAATTTGACAATATTCCAGATTCACCGATCATGCATATGATCACTTCGTCAAATCGCTAAAAATACGTTCGAAATGATGAGTCTGTGATGGAAGATAGAACAAATCGATTGCAGTTCCACATGAAATTATTGGTGTATTGCGTGGCTGATGTGAAACAAGCCAATTACGAAATCGACTTAGACTTGCGCAGATTCAAGGGCTGTGTCGAGGGTTGTTGAACAAAGTAGTGTCCACTTACTTTTTATCAGAAATACTACTTGAGGTTGTCGAAGTTCCATTTGCTGCCGACGAAGAAGCGGCTGATCCCACCGCTGCCACTTGAGCTGCAGCAGCAAAGGCGGCTGCATTCAATGAGAACATCGCTTCTTATGGGTCGCACCTTCAGATCTTCAGAACAACGATTGTTTCGAGCCAAATCTCGTTGCTGCTCCAAACTTTCTCATCGAAGTAGAGTTTGACAAGTACCTGCCAATTAGCTGTGATAAAGTGGTAGGGACACTTCGATGAAATGTCGACTTCGAGTTGATTTCGAGATATCCTAAGAGTGCGACAGGAGTGATACTCAACTCGACAACAAAAGTGAGTTGTTGTACCAAGCAAATGAATGCAGTGGAAAGAAGGTTTGCCTTTTCAAAATACCGGAAGGTTAAAGAGGTTGTATTGAAGTGGTAGTGGTATGCTCTCGAACCCTACACTCTTAACGTGAAGACTGACTGATTGCTAACAAGGGTACATAGGTAGGTGGATGAGGTAGATATTTAATCTCAAGTTGTTCGAACTACTCGAGATCCGATTCACCTATTCACTAGTACAGTTTATCAGGCTAACGTAACCAATCGTTACCACACATCGATGCTGAATGTTCATCGGTATTGAGCTATTCCATCGTTGACGATAGACATCCAGATAAACACTGCTCTGTTGACAATACTGTACTGTATCGCATATCGTATATCTACTAAGATCTTGAGTTATCTCTCGCCCATCCTCTGTCCTCTTGTTTATCTTCCAGCTCTCTCATTTCATCTCCTTCCACATTTTCCACTGAGCAAATTGAATACGGTTAGCTGAAGGTATTGTGCACACAAAATTCTTGCTTTGCAGCATCGTTGGTGTTTATACGCACGTATGGATTGAATATTGAGGCACGACTTTAACTCATCACACCAATATGATCTCAGTGTTGATATCAGGTGGGTCACATAAAAATATACATGTAAAATCTATTATTCAGGTTTCAAATTATCAGTTGACTCCATATTACATTGAAATTTGGAATCTCTCACGATATACAAGCAAATTTTGATTGCAATTCTGAATTTTCAATTCAAAAAGATCATTCATACAATAAGTCTTGCTGAAGAAAAATCTGGCAAAAACCATTTTGCAACTTCGATTAACTGTCCATGCGTGTAAAAAGCGATAAGGATTGAATTGTTCAGAATGCAACAAAAGTTCCAGCTTTGTCAAGCTGACTGCCAAAAGAATAGCATAATGTAAAATGGCCCAATGCTTCTGCTAGAACTACCTTAATCAAACATTTCTGCTATGTCATCTTCCTAGTGTCATCGATTACTGAATGTAATCTTCTCAAATTCCATCATTACCGTGTCAATAATCCGACTCAGCCGTGCGCTTATTTGATCTATTCGATCGCCGTATTGCCGCTGTTTACGTTGTTTTGTTTTGTTTATTTGTTCAGTGATCTTACAGGATACACTTCTTATTAAAACAAACAATATACAATTATAAGTTATAGCTTATTCGGCTAATGAAGGATATATTTACATACCTCAGCAAAGTGTTCACTTACGATGTCACTGAGTCCTAATGTGACCTTAAAGACCTTAAAGAGACCGATTTCGCGCATTTTCCACTTCATAATAAAACACCATCATACATATTGCTGCCGAAGTATAGG